CAGCACTGAAAATTTAAATAAAGAAGAGAACTAGTAAAAAATAAATCTCATCCAAGAAATCTTTCAAACTTTTTTCCTTGCTAATTTCAGATTCACTGAGTCCTAATTCCAAATATTCTGACATTCAACGTTCTCCCCAACCTATGCCTAACTGCATTAACTCCAATGTCTTTTCTCCAAACATCATTTCTCTACTACAATTTTAAATAGCCTACATTCCATACATAGTAGTTCACACTGCAAGCACAAAAGCTGCTGTTTCTTGGAATTCATTTCATCTCTGCCAACCAGTGTTCACAATTAGGCTATTTTTGCTCCTCATTCATTTTGGAATTCATACGAAAAGATGTAACATTTATAGAGCCGCACAGAATTGCTGCTCACTCATTCCTGTTCTCTTTTCATTTTCTATTACAGGATCTCACCGTGTAGCCCAAGGCTGGCCTCAAACTCGTGATCCTCCTACCCCAGCCTCCTGGATGCTGGAATTACAGGCATGCACCACCACCCTGGGCTTTCACTCTTTTTCAGGTCAGCAGCAGCCACTCCCTACAACACTGGTTCTCAAATAAAAGCACTTTTGTCTCCCAGGCAACACTTCGCAAGGTCCAGAGGTGTTTAGATTTGTTGTTGCTGCTGCTTTCTTTCTTTCTTTCTTTTGTGGTTTTATTTTATTTTATTTTACTGTAGTTCTTGTTTTTCTTTTGCTTCGATTTTGATTTACTTTTATTTCAGCATCTAGTGAACACAGGCTTAGGATGCTGCAATCCCACAATGCAATGGACAGTCCCAACAGCCCCAGCAATGAATTAGCTGGCCCAAATGTCAATACTGCCAAGGTTGAAAAATTCTGCTCAAACACTATATTACTCAACTCATTCCTATAACAGATCAACAATCAAGGCAAATGGCCTTGGTCAAGCTGGTTCTCTCTTCTGGCCTGTAATCTCCTGTGTTCTCAAGCCAATAGTCTGTCCTAAACATCAAGATTTTGCAACACTGTGGTAATTTCATCTTCGGATCCCTACTTTTTCCTGACATGTGACACTTAAGATACTTGTGTCTGTGTCTCAAACCCCCTTGGCTTGTATCTTACCCTGGAAAAATGAGAGGACTTTTATGCATTATTTTCAGGACTTAGATCTTTTCAGAGTCTAGTCTCCAAACCAACCTGATTCGTCTTTATCGTTTCTTGCTTCCTCCACCCTGGGGTGACAATATGGTTTGACACTACATCAAAGCAACCTTAAAAGGTCTATTTCTGTCTTGACTTTGCAGTAGCAGCATTCCATCTCTTCTTCCTTGAGTCACTTAAGGGGCTGTCGCCTTATCTCCAGAATATCAGTTCACACATTTTATAGCTTACTATATGATCACTAAGGGAATAAATGAACCAATAACCTGCAGGTTTAGGTCACAAAGAACACACCTTTAGAATGACTGAATTCTAGATCTTTCATCCAGTTAATGAAAATATTTATTAAAATACTGTGCCAGGAATGGGGGTAGTAGTCAAAAAGGGCATGATTCCTACTCAAAATAGCTAACAGCTTAGTTCTTATGTCAGATATGTAAATAATTTGTAGCTAGACTGATTACAATCAGACTATTTCTCTTCTGTAACTTTAAAGTAATTCCCAAATGCGGCTGGAGAGATTGCTCAGTAGTTAAGAGCACTTATTGCTCTTCCTTAAGACCCAAGTTCATTCCTAGCACCCACATCAATCAGCTCTCACCCACCTATAACTCAACTTCCAAGGGACCTGACACCCTCTTCTGGCCACTGTAGGCATCCACATACACATGATAAACACACTCACAGAGAAACAAATATACATATATATAAAGTAAGCTTTAAAAAAAGATTCCAAAACCAAGAAAATCCTTCCTCAAAACTGACAGAAATACCAATCTCAAAATAAAAGCATGCTGGATGAATGAACGACCAAATGAACAAGCAAGCTAAACCAAGTACTAGACAGGTTCTTGGGGGAGGGGCAAATTATGCAAGGTGGTACATCATGTAAAGGAAGCTTCCATATTCTGCTGTCTTCTTTCTTTTCATTTCCCTTACATGTCCTCCTCACTAGGCATGCTAATTGCTTTGCATATGTAACAAGTTAATCAGAATGGCAAGGTAACTCTACAACATATTCCATGTTGAAAAATCTTTGCTTCATAGTTTTGTACAGACTTAGCCCCCCGAGTCTGTAGAGACCAAGGCTGACACTAGGCTAAAATGCACTATGAGCCTATCCAGAAGTTTACACCAGTGTCCATCTTATTGGTCAATATTTGTACTTTATGTCTATTAAAATGTTACTATCATTTGGAAAGATGTCCTCTGAGGGTCCATGTATTAAAGGCATATTCACCAACTTCTGGTGCTATTGTGAGGTGATAGAACTTTCAAGAAGTAGGGCTTAATAGGATGAAATTTGATGTGTGAGAACATGTTGAGATTCAGATTCATTCATTCATTCTCTCTCTCGCTCTCTCTCCTATTATGAAGTAAGAAGGTTGCCCTCACATGCCCTCAAACCCTCAACATCCCACCACCATTTCATATGGCCACAGACCCAAAGCAACAGAACTGCTGAAACCTCCAGAACTGTGAGCCAAATGAACCTTTGCCTTCAGTACCTATCACAAGTATTTGCTGCAGTGACAGAAAGCTACTTAACAAGAGTTTATCGTTTTTTAATAGTATTTGAGAATTTCATACAGTGTATTTCAATCATATTCAGAAGACCTTCCCAATTGCTTCTCAGGTCCACCCCCACTTCCCTACTTCACCTCACTTCATGTCCTGTATCTAATTTTCTCTTAGGGTCTATCAAGTCTAATTTAACACAACAGTTTAATGTCACCCGTAATTGGCATATCCTATCAATTTTAATGTAGCAGGCAAGGTTTTCAAGAAATGAAGTCCAAAGTATATTTTATTCATTCTCCCTTTAAAGATATGAAAAATATCAGTCACCAACTGAGCCAGCACAATGTATCCACCTGGTTGGACTGCTTTTGTCTCTACACAGGGCCTTGTTAATTCAGCGTAATAAATCTATATTGCAATGGCACCAATATATCAGATGCTACAACCACATTTATCATCCCTATAAGATGGAATTATATAGGGCTGAATTTGAACCCAAGATCTATTCGGTATTGTCTGTGTGATCTTTTTTGAGGCTAAAATGTACATAGGATGTTAACTAAGCAAAACACAGAATAATATTCACCTCAGAGAAGTGCCATGAGGAGCAGCAGGAAGGTGATCTACAGAGCACAGTATATGCTTGGGAGCCAGTGAATATTACCTTTGCCTTGGGCTCAAATCCAGTACAAAGTTACCCAGTAAAAGTCTTATAATCTCTTATAATTTCTTTTAATTTTCTCTAGTTCCTTCCACTTCATATAATTTTCATCCATTCTTTCATTTATTCAACATTATGAAGAGCATGATTTACCACTGCCTCCCCAAACCTCTCCTAGACATCTCTGAAACCCACACTGAAAAGTAGAAGTTATGATTCCAAATTTATCTTTACCCTGAAATAATTCATTGTCTTTGTTTTAAAGTGAGTCTTCTCCCCCTTCATTTCTGATCATTTTTCATCATTGAGGAAAAGCTCTAGATTTTGAGGCAAGCATCCAGAATTCCAAATCCAACACTGTTATTTGGTTGACTTATTAAAACTTTCCTAATGGGCATGGTAGCATATGCCTTTAATCCCAGCATTCGGGAGGCAGAGGCAGGCGGATCTCTGTGAGTTCAAGGCCACCCCTGGTCTACATAGTGAGTTCCAGGCAAGCTAGGGCTACAGGCAGACCCTGTCTCAAAAAAAATACCAAAAAATTTTTTTCTAGGTCTTAGTATCCTATAATGGGATATAACAGTAATGAATGCAGCATCTAGTACTTATCAGGTGTTCCAACAAACTTTATTTAATTGTTGTCACCACTGAAGTTTCCTGAATATCTTACATGTTTTAGGCATAAAATAACAGTACAGCATTTTAGAAGATAATTAAGCCAAGGTGTTAGACCTGAAGGAATTTGTGGTCTAGTGGGAAGGCAAACATATAAACAAAGAAATTACATAGCAATGTTCTAAGTGCTAAAATTAGAAGTGTGTATACAAAGTGCCAGGGAAGCACCAAACATAGACAGGCGGAGCTTTCCAGAAGAGATGATTAAGCCAGAGGATGTGAGGATGGAAGAGCTTCACTGAGCACATGGGAGAAAGATGGCTCTTCCATGGGGAGCTACAGTAGAATGCTCAGAATTCCTGCTGAACAATCAGGAATTGATTGCTGAAAAATAGAAATCAGGTATGTTTTCAGAATGATACTACAAAGGGCTGATGGAAACTCAGGCAGGTAGGAATGACCCAAGTCACAATCCAAGGCCTCAAATGATATGCCAAGAAGTTTGGACTTTATGCTGTGGACAACCACTGATACATTTCTAAGTCAAAGAACAACATGTTTTAGAGCTATTCCTATAGTGGCAAAGGAGAGGATGGATTAGCAAAATGAGTCCTGGACATGGTGCTGGTGAATGGGTACAGTGGGAAAGGAAAGAGGTAAGCAAGGTTCTAGGCTTTCAGGTTAGACAAATAGTTCACTGTAGTTCCCTAACCCAAAGGAGTCATACAAGTAGCGGAGAAGAAAGGTGGATGAAAAGAGTGACATTTTGAGTCTGGTACATCCATTTAGACAGAGGCATTCCAAAGAACATTGGGAATAATGTGTCTAGAATATTTGGAAAAGAATAAATTAGAGATAGAGATTTAAGCATGGACTTTTCAGAATAACAATTTTTAAACATTAAGAAAAATACTTTTTAAAAGAAATCTAATTCAGCTGGATGTAGTGGTGAAAGACTATAAACCCCAGCACTCTAGAGCCTGAGACAAGATGGACCAGGAGTTTATGGCTTGCCTGGGCTACATGCTCAAAAATAATGACGATTTTTTTTTTTTTAAGGAAATGCATAGCACTTTGTATGTTTATTCAACTGGTGGACAAAGGCATGAAAGACAAATGCAAAATTAGATCCTCTTTTACAATCCAGAACTCATTGTTCAGTACGAGTTTTAACACACACAAGAAGAACTATGACAAGAAAGCTCAAAGGCATACCCCGGCAGCAGGCCTCGGGGCCCAGGACACTCCAACTCCCAAAAGACGGAACATGTGTGATGGACCATGTGAGGAACCTTATCACACAAGATGAACATTTACCTCACCTTAGTGCTTCTATACTGATCTCAAAATTCTGAACTCAGGACTTGGCAAGTAAGAAAGAAAATAACTGATGAGCCAAGATGGTGCAGCCAGAGCAACGAGAGCAAAGGCAACTCTGCCCAAGGACTTAAACCATGACTACAGACCTCCTCGTTGTATTAGGAATCTTGATGCCTCTGTACTGATCTCAAAATTCTGAACTCAGGACTAGACGAGTAAGGGGGAAGTTTTTCTGGGGAGCCAAGATGGCAGGGCAGCTCTAGCTTGGCCAGCCATGAACACTGGCAGGGTGGTACAGAGCTGGCACAACCACTCACCCACACTGGTGAAATCGTGCCAGCCTGGCCACGCATGTGCCCCAGTGGCACCCACAGTGAGCTGACCATCATCATCATCCAGTGACTATCAAGACCAGATTGCAGCCCTCAACAACATTAGGAATCTGAGAAGTCTAGGAGATTTCAGAAAACAAACAGGAGGACACTGGTGTAAAGCTGTCCTGTGAAGCTGCAAAACTTCACAACTGCCACTCAGAGAATCTTGGATTGGAGGCCTGTGAGCTAATTGCTGCCTGCTGTGGGAGCCTAGCTTTCAGCTTTCACCTACAGTAAAACCCTGAGGGGGATCAACCTGTTGAAGAATTTCTTGGTCCATAGTGGGGTCATTGTGCTGAGTGAGGCCCAAAAACAAACAGCCAGAATATAACCTGCATGTAAGGGATGTGAGCAGCTAAGTTTGATAAGGAAAACCAAACATTTCTGACTGCTGATCAAAAGAGAAATCCCTACTTGACCCTCCTAAGCGGTGTGCAAGAGAAACACAAATGAAGAGTGAAAATCCCATTCCAAGAAACCTGGACATATTCTGACCCAAAACCACGTACAACAGAAAGGGAGTGGACCCCTACTTTGGCACACCTCTGTATAAGAATTATAGATCACTGACACTCCAATGAGACATGATTTCTCTGGTGCCCAGCTGAGAGGTGTTATGGAAGATAGATAGGGTTTTTCATTTGCTAAT